TATAGGATGATCCTTACCAGTAACTTCAATACTTGTGTAGTGCATACCAGTCATATGTAACCAAAATAGAATAGACCTTCGAATAAGTGACCCTAACTCTAAGTCCACAACAAAACAAGGAACATGAAGTAAAGCAAAAATCACAGATTCTAAGTCTATGACACCCTAGTCACATATAACCTTGGCGTATCCATTCAACAACTATTGACCCACTAATAAACACCTTTTATTTCTCAAATAAGTAACTTTAGTAACACAAAATAATCCTATAGTATTTTAGGTTTATGTTCTGTTCTAAAGTTTTCATTGTAGTAGTGTTGGTAAGTTTTTAGACTTGTTGCAACACAACAACCATTCCTAGGCGCATGCTAATCACTTCTCAGAAAGATATAGTTGATCAAGCTATATCACTCCCGGATCTGATTATATGTCCCCAAGATTACTTGTGCTATCTAACAAACGCAATACTTTTGTTTTGTTCAAGTATGGCACTGATCCTAGTATGAATGCTTGTATGTATACTTTGGTTAAATATTTTATTATTTAAAAGCATAAACTCTTGGTCAAAGTATTTTAATCCCGATGTGTTTATAGTTGTATATATTTTATGGGTTGATATACTCAATTTACTATAAACAAAGCTCTGATACCAATCTGTCATACCCCCAAACCGGAACGAAGGAAACGTTCAGGGGTGGAGGACGTCATGTTTAGTATCATAACAATGCACAATAGTAAAACAAGCAATAACATCATCCATTGCATTAATAATATAATTTAATACAACTATGTCATGTGTATAGTTTCAAAGACACCAAAATATGAATCAAAATAAAAAATGAGTCACGAATATGCTCCGTCTTCTCAAAACCTGGTCCAGTGTACCTGTCTACTGGTGACCTGAGAATACGTGTTATTTTGAAAGAGTAGATCAACATTTAAGCTGGTGAGTTCATAAGTGTTTTAGTGTCAAATGTTTGTATAATTTGATGAAAGTGTTTGATGTAAATGTTTGTAAGTGTTTGATGTAAATGTTTGTACCTCCTAGAAAAATCCTATATTTTCTACTTATAATGAAATGTAGTGTTCTACCAAGACCCGACTGTTATGTATGTTCTTTTGTAAAAGTGAGTATTTTTCCCAAGTATGACTATTATTACTAGAAAATAGTTTACATTATCGTTTATGTGAGAAGATCACAATATGAATGTAATAAGAAAATGACGATGTACAGTAGTATTTTATATAGTAACTACAAATGTACTAACTACCTTAAACCAATTGTTTAATTAAGGTAAAATGTGATGAGATTATAAACATACTTGATTGACTAGTAAAACACGATGATCAAAGACATCGAAATGGTATGACATTCATCACCCGTAGACCTGCAGGTCCCATTGTAGCTAGCAGCAAGGTGTAGGATGGTCAATCCCATATAGATCTATACACAAATTCATGATCTCCCTCCAGGAGAGTCTGGTTACAAAACGTGACACAACAGTATATTGTCATGCCATGAAGTAGTGGCTCACATTAATGTTATAGTGTTCTTGTATTAGTGTAATATGTTCCTTCTATTCTGGTGTATAGTATGTTCTCTCTGTTCTAGTGTATAGTATGTTCTTTCTGTTTCTCGTTATAGTATGTTTGAACTGACTCATATATGAACTGACTCTTGTAAGTTTCATTGTTCTAGAAATAGTGAGTAGTAATCATCTAAACTATACCTATTATAGTTTACTAGCAGTACTGTTATTTGAAAGACTGATCATGTTTGTCCACCTTTGCTACCCAAAGGTATTGAACTGATTGGAAGAACTTTTATATCTACATATAGATACATAATATGTAACTAAGATTCAAACGACACTCGGACATACAACCGATACCTTAAGTCCACAACCAAACAAAGAACATGAAATAAAGCGAGTTATTAGTCCTAAGCCCTTTCAACCTTATTTATATAAATATATCTATATAGACATGATTTTGACAATATATAAGTTTAAAAGAGTTTGATAAAGAGTTTAACATATAAAAGAGTTTTAACCATTTGAATGGTTATTGATGACTTGATGTCAGTTTATAAAATGTTTTGAAATAGTTTGTTTGATAACACAGTTTTGAAGTATAAGAAATCCTCTTGTTTGATAGTTATAAATCACATGTGATTGATAGTATAACTATAATGTTTTCTACTTGTATCCCCTTACCCCCATAAAAGCATTTAAAATCATTTAAAAGATAATTTAGGGGTATGAACTCACCTGTAGTGAGTGATTCGAATGTAAGATCGATATAGAATGCTAAGTGTCAAGTGAAGTCTCGAACACAAACGGGTCCTATTAAGCATATAATGACACATATATGTATATAATTAGTGTATAGAATAACTAATCAGGTAAAGGAACAACCTTAGGGACTAGGAAACATTTGGAATGAAGTGTTACAATCACATATGATTGTATAAAGGGTGTTCACGGCCACACAAGGGTGTGTTTATGGCCAAGGGGTGTTCACTGCCAAGGAGTTTATGACCATACATGAACAAGCTAAGGTTTATGGTTATGACTTAAAGGGTTCACGGTCACTACATGAACTAAGAAGGGTTTACGGCCATATGTAGGGTTTACGTCCGTAAACTCTTGATGTTCATGCTAAAATGGTTGATTCTTGGTTGTAATTCAAGAGCTTCTAATGGATAACTAGTATATGGAAAGGATACTTATGTTTTGGAAGCTTGAAGGGGTGATTACGACCCAAAGACCTAGTGTGTGTTCTCGGTGTTCTTGATGATTTGAAGATCTAACCTAAAAGATATGAATTCATAGATGAAATCATAGGGTTTTACTAGATCAAGAAGGATATCAACTAATAATGAAAGAATCACTTACAAATTTGAAGAGAAATGGAAGTGTTCTTGATGATACTTGAGAGAGAGAAATGAGAGTTCTTTATTGGAAGTTGTGAGAAAAGAAGAAAAGTGAAGGATCTTCATACTTAAGAAGAAGAGTTCACGGCTGCCAAGAGTTTACGACCGTAAACTCTAGTTTGCGGTCGTAAACTCCTTGTGATGGAGTTTCCGGCTTGAATGCAACACAATGAACTTTAGTTAACACATCCTAACACTCAATCTTTGAATGTACTAGGCTTAGAACACTCAAACAGAACCTTAACAATGCTAAAAAAAATAGCAGAAACAAGTGTGACTTTTGATTGAATTGAATGGCTTTACAAGACAAAAATTTCGGGATGTCACACAAATGGTACCATGTGATGCTCGTACAGTCTTCCTTCAGGTGAATATGGAGAAATTCCGAAAATAGTCTAAAATGTGCGTAAAGCAGTAAGCTACATGTTGGAAAAAAATTAGGCCAATCAGACTAATAACAAAGTTGTCATGGCAGTTTAAAGTGGAATGACATTCTTCTGAGCGATGAAACAACCCTTACAACTTTAATACCCATGTTTTGGGATTGTAACTGGTCTCGTTGAATCTTTCATCTTCTTTAAATTGTCATAATTCCTTCATTTGAAGTCGGAATGTCATGATCTCTGTCAACACGTAGTTTGATGTGTACTTCATTTTAGACTATATAAACACCTTATTTAATTACATATTGAGTGAGTTACAGATCCTGGAACATATGGTATCAAAGCTAAATTTATATTCTTTCAGCATTGAATTTATCGTTTGTATTTCATTTTAAATTATATAAACACCATATTTCTTTATATATTGGATTCGTTTTTATTGGTTGATTTGGTATTATTTTAATCATTTGGGCTCAAAGTGATTACTAGTTATACCAACTGTATAAGAACATGTACCGGTTCCAACAGTGTATTTTACCGAAATCCGGAATCGGCATTGGTTCGGTCTAGTAATCGATTCTCATTATTGGTGTAAACCGGTCCGATTGAGTTTAGGCCGATTGCTCACCTTAATTCCAACTAAGTATCATTGGTTTGGCCGACCTTTACCTAACCCACTACTTAATACTACACAGGTTCATCAAATATTGAGATCAGTCTAAAAAGACATAACCCTTTCGTCAGTGATTCAAATAATCTATTATAGAAATTGTTAATGACTTATAATGGTAACATAGTTTAGGTTTTTTTCACATTTAGTCTCTTATGTTTTTTTTGTTCCTATATCAACATTGAATTTATTTTGACTGTTCATGTTACATCCTTATAACCGGCTAGCCCCCTGGTTTCTCGTTTCTTCACACCCCTCAACGTAATTTTTTTTTTCTCTATCTTCTTCTTTCTCAACTATTTTGATGAGAATAACCCTCCCCATTAATGGCATTGTGGAGAAGACAAAAATTTATGCTGACGTGGCCTTTTGAACGGCATTGACCATACCGAATAACCTAAGCAAACCTTAAAGTATATTACCCTATAAGTCATTATCCTTTTCCAAATCTTTCCATCTAGGTTCATAAAGGACTAACATTGATTACTATTTTCCCCCTACAAGAGAACAAATTAATGTTTCTTTCGAGGAAAATCTCTCATAAAATTTTAATATTTTGGTCATTTTACGATTTAATCCCAACTTTTATTTTTTTAACATAAAAAGCTTAATTATTCTATATTTTGCCCAAATTTACAAAACAACTGTAATTTTTTTTCAACAAAAAATGATAAATTATCATAAAAATTAAATAATCAAGACTTTTCTGTTCATAAAGGATATTAGGCTATGTCACATAGACGACAACTTATATTTTTTCTCATTTTATTACTTTGAAACCTTATAGTAGAAGTGGGGAAAAGATAAGGAAAAAAAGGGGTTGTGTGTGTGTGAGAGAGAGAGATCTACAGCCAAAGTTTACCACATTGCAGCTAGATCGCACAGGGGCAGGGGCGGTGTTCCCCTGCCAAGGTGGCGAGACTGTTCACTCAAGCCTTATAGTTTAAGGTTTTTAACTGAGTTTCACATTTTATGCATACACCAAATAACATATACGATCAAGTACTATCAGGTTCGTAACTTCAACATAAAAATATAAATATGTTAATATAGTTAAAAATTGCATTACCTTACTTTAAAAGATCTATAAGCCTCATTGCTCTTCCACCCCGTTTTCCATCGTATTTCATAGAAAAGAAAATAGAAAACTCTCTTGAGTTCAAATACGGTTTACATTTTACAAAGATAAAACAAGGTTTCCAAAATATGATGTATTTAAAAATAGCATCATATTTTGTAATATTCCACACCAAATTTGATTAAACAAGGGTTTTTAGTAGAAAGCAGCTAGTTTTGTTGCTAAGAAAGTGAAAAAGATTAAGCTCCATCTGGCTGGATAAATGGATTGGCTATCTCCTCTGTACCATCAGTAGGAGAAACAAGCATGACAGCTGTACCCCTACAAACCTGCAATACATACAATTATAAAAGAAAGAAAAAGGTGTGACAATGGCAAAAGACATGAATGCCCTTTTTATCCTCATTATCAAAAATAGCTCTACAAAGTTTGTAAAGTCATAGAGATGAGGATTAGGAAATCATACTATTAAGCCAAGGCGACGTGTTTGATCAGTTGTCTTCAGTGGATCATCCGCATCTGCATCACATATTCACATGGCTTAAAATAAAAGAGTTTTTTTTTATAAGGTTTATTTTTAGCTCAAAAAATGAAATTATTACCTCTAAGGAACTCCACAGCTTCATCTAATACAAGGTTCAGCAACTGGTCATATCCTTTAAGTGTCCCTGACACTATACATAAAAAAAAAAAGAATATAAATTTAACAAGTAATAACCACAAAGCTTCTCTATGTGGGATAACTAACCCATTAAGACATGCTTTATGTATCAAGTCAAAAATAAACAAACAGTAAATGTGGTTGCTAACCTTGTCTTCCACCTGTGAGCTTGACTTGGACACCCTTGTCAACAAATTTTGCCAAATCTAGAACTGTTTCCTTCCTGCCTGACTGAAATAGTTAAGATGAAAATGACAATAAATTAAGAACATCTTTTAGCAATAGAAATTGGACCATAAGGGCCCCATGTCTGCATCTAATGAAAAGTGTTGTTCTTAATGGACAATGAGGATAGAAGATATACTGAAATTGATTGTCTAGGGTGCTAATGATTTCATCAAGAATGAGATATGTTTAAGAGGGGTTATCAGATACTCATCTACCCTAGAATGTTGATCTTACTAGCATAAACTACTGCATTCAATCTTGCTTTTTTAAGAAAAGTTGGTCTTTTAAGATGGATCAGAAAGATGTAGATTGTTAGTATCAGTGTATTACCATTGCAAATGTTTTTAACAATTAACTGCAACCAAACGTTCCTTGCTGAATCTGAAGCTCACGAACAAATGTATGCCTGCGAAATTCAAGCTTGAGAATAAGTCGAGATTAAAAAAAAAAACAATTTTACATATCATCACCTACGGAAAAGAAAGAAAGACATATTAGCCTAGTAGTCTAAAATTATATACTACGCCCAAGTAATAAACACATACGATCGTTGATATGAATTATGGTAAATGTGGCTTGGAATCCCCATTCGTGATACGTCTACCAGGTTATTGAATCTTAGAAATCATGTTACATTAAGGAATAAAGACGCAACAGACATACTTGAAAGCACTGTATCGAGAATAGTTGTTCTAATTAGAAATTTCAAACTACATTGGGCATTATGCCCTAAATTGGATGTTTAGCCAGATTAATTCTAAATTGCCGTTTTTAACAATGAATAGCAGTGATATTCATACTTCAACCAAACCTCCAATAATGCATACACAGTATATAAAACCTAGGGGTATGGTCTGCATCGTAACAACGAACACGTACGTGCTTGTTTGCAACTGGGGTTGCGCGTGCGAAAGTTGAGTTAGAGTTAGTTTAGGGCATAATTGGTACTTACCGTTGATAGGGCGACGGAGGAGCTGCGGAGGTAGGATCTCAGGCAGCCGGAGTATGCTCTAAACAGAAGGTGTGAGAGTCTGGAGAACAGGAGAAGTAGGGGAAAGGAACGCGGTTCGACTAGAGTATATAGACCTTCAAGGTTTCAGAACTGGTCCCTGAAGTATGACAAGTTTCAACTCGTTGAGTGCGAACATGTGAACTTTAAAGTAGCTCGTTAAGTTCAAGTAAGTAGGGCTAGTTAAAAGTCATTTTCAACATATTAAATGTTTAAAATCTCACTTTTGCGAATATATACAGTCCAATACTTTTTTTAAGCCTAGTACTAAGTTCAAAAACCTATGTCTCGGATTTTGGACCCTACTATAAGCTCTAACTTCTAGGATCTGACATTTTACAACCTCCATCCTTCTGAACGTTAAAGAGCAAAACCCAACCCATTTCTCATCCCATTGTGATGTTTTGTGCCTTGAGAGTGGAGTTAAAGAAGGAGAATGTGTTTTTGGTGCTTGTGAAGCTAGATCTAAAGTTGTTCTAGCTTTTTCATAACCTTTTGTATCTTTGTAAGTCATCAAGATGCAACCTTAATATGTTTTTCACCTTAGGTCTAGTATTTTGTGTTGTTTTAGATCCTTATTGTCATGTTTCTTTGGAGTTTGGAAAATTCTAGGTCCAAAGGTTGTTTTAAGTTGCTTTATGGACTCATTTTAGTGATAAGGAGAGTTTTGTCTTTCGTTTTGGACCATGCATGGAGTGTTTAAGCATTTAGATTCATTTTAGACCTACATTTTATAGTTTAATTTATTAGAGATATGAATCCGGGTAAAATTGGAAAGTTTATCCATTAAAAACATCATTTAGTGAGATCTTCTGCCTTAAAGGATTAAGCATTTAATAAAAAAAAAGTGCATTTGCCTAGATAACATGATGTGTTAGTTATTGGACGCGGCACGTTGAGTTTGGTGTCATCGTGACTATTTTGTCTTTTAATGGACATGACACATCCATACAGGAAGCAACTCGTGACGCGTGTTGACTATTGACTTTGACCGTTTTGGTCAAACTTTGATGGATTTAAGTGTTTAACTGAGGATTGGTATTAGGTGGTTTGTGTTAGCTGTCTTGTTTGCAGAGGTTGTCGTTGAGATTTTGCTTCTAGACTATTGTAAGTTTTCTCACTATGCTATGTGTGACATTCCATGTCCAATGAGTGATATGATGTTTATATTCTGTTAGTATATGAATATGAGTATGTGATAGACTACAATAGTCTTGTGTTAGTATATACGACATGTTTTGTTTGGTTAGTGTTTATTAGGGGTGTACAAAAAAACTGCAAAACCGAAAAACCGAGCCGAACCGGCCGATCCGAAACCGAAAAAAACCGATACATAAAAAAACTGAAACCGAAAAAACCGGATATCAACGGGTCGGTTTTGGTTTGGATACTTAGGTATCCGCGGATAACCGAACCGAACCGCTTGATATATATATATATATATATATATATATATATATATATATATATATATATATATATATATATATTATTCATTTTCATTGAACTTTTAGTTATATCCCAAACAAAAATCATGATCGGCTATTCTAATTTTACACTTCTACATTATGTTTTCTTTTATTTTTATTTTTATATTTGTTATACCAATTATAATGTATGTTATTTGATCTTCATTATGTTTTTATAATTCTTTGGACTTGGTAATTTTTGAAAGAAATCGTTGGAATGAAGTTTGTAATTTTAATTGTATTTGAATTTTTATATTTAGCAGGTACCCGTGGACCGAACCGTGGTTACCCTGCTTTATACGGTTCGGTTCGGTTTTTTTGCTAATTCGGTTCGGTTTCGGTTAGTGCACATGAAGTACCCGCCCCATGATGACGGTTCACAATTTTATTACTATCCGAACCGAACCGCCCCCGTTAACACCCCTAGTGTTTATGTTACTATTGGTAGATCGTTGAGTGAATGACTTAAGGGTTGTACGTAATTACAACCAGATAACCTTATAACTCTTGATTTGGCCTTATTGCATGGTTATTGTTTGATATATTACTTTCGGGTATGAACATTTGTTCCACTGTTTATCCGACTTCGACTACGTATGATTATGCATTCATAAGGCAATTTGTCTATATTAGCATAAACTTTGGTATATTTTGCATGATGGTTAAGGGTCTATAGTTTGTATCATGGTTGAGAGCGTACATGTGTTATGAGGGCTGGGAGCCTATAATTTGCTCGATGGTTGAGAGCCTATAATAGTATGATAGTTAGGAGCCATCAGTTGTTATGCAAGATGAAATTGTGAGCTTATTGTTGTGGAACTCACTAAGTATTATGTTTACGTTGTTAAGTTAAATGTTTTCCAGGTTGTCTAGGTTAAAACGGGAAGGCATTGCGTGATTGTACATTCACATTAGTGTTATGCTGTTATTTTGAGTCTTCCATTGATTTTTATAATTTAACTTTGGTTTAATATTGTGATTTGAAACAAATGAATGTTATGATATGTAATTAAAGAATGGTTTTTGGATGTTTAATCTTTTAAAAAAATAAAAATTTTGTTTGAAATTTAAGATGTTACAAATTGTCCATAGGAATGGCAATGGGGCGGGTTCGGGGCGGGGCATGGATTCCCAAACCCGCCCCGATAACTTTCGGGTATCTTATCGGGGCGCCCCATTGGGTTTCGGGTTTCCCCGTCGGGTTTCGGGTATCTTATCGGATTTACAATAACTGATAACGAAATCTTTATTCTCTTTTAGGGTACCCCAATGTCTTATAAAATATACATGTTCTAGCAACTCTTTTAAATTAAAAACATGATGCATCACTTTAATAAAATAAACTGGACGTTATATACAAAATTATTTGATTTACGTTTTGTTTAATACGTCAAAACACATAAAAATGATCATTAACACCAGATTGTTAATAACTAAAAAAATTGTCCACAATAAGTATTTTATATTTGAACGTGTACAATTAACAGCAAATTTTTTTGAACATATATATATATAATCGGGGCGGGGCGGGTCGGGGCGAGGATAACCCACTCCCTGCCCCGAACCCGATAAAAAACCCAATAACGACCCGTTACCCGACCCGAAATGATCGGGTTTCGGGTTTCCCCGTCGAGTTCGGGTTTTTTTGCCATCCCTAATTGTCCATCTAGTCTTAGAAAGAATGTGAATTTTTGAAAAAAAAAATAATCTAACGTGATAATATTTCACATTTCAACCACCACAAACATAAAATACAAAAACATTAAGGAATACCATTCAACAACTTTTTTTAATTTTTACAACTTGTTCATTTTTTATTATTTTTTTGGGTAGTCTTTTGTATTTGATGGCATGGCTACATGTGCCATTTGGATTTGATGACACTTTAATCGAGAGTTAGGACTTTGATCGAGGGATCGATTATATTCAGAACATAAATAAAAGATTTTTTTAATAGTAACAAAACTGAAATTAATAAAAAAGCTAGTTAGGAGCTAGCAAAAAAGTAAAAAATTAAAGTATTATTGGATTGTGCATCCAATCAATCCAACTAACACAAATCTTAGAGTTCTGAAAAAAAAACCAATGAAAAAAACTGATCAACAATAAAGTAAAAGATCTAAACCAAAAAAAAAAAAAACGTAAAAAATGTTTTGTTTGAACTACTCAAATATACAAATTTTTACTATGAGATCTATTTTTTTTTTTTAAAGAATCAGCCTTTAATAATAAAATCATAAAAAAATATTATGATTAAATCAAATTTAGATGACTTTAATAATTTTATTAATCTTAATGACCTGTTAAATCGTCAGATAATCTTATGACTCTAATATAAATAATAAAATGTTATATGATCGACGGAAAATTTAGTAAAATAACCATTATAAATGAGTTTTTTTTTAAATAATCATTTTTTTTTCAGTTTTGAATAATTATTATTTTCTTCTAATGTTCCATTCCAAACTGTTGTTTAATTTTTTTTTTTTTTTTTTTTTTTTTTTTTTTTTTTTTTTGTATTTATGTTTAAAGAATCTCTTTACTTATATCTAGAATATATTATCGTTTTTCAATTAAATGTTTCATTTTAATTTATATTATCATATATATATTCAATATTAATATTAATATGTTTGCTTAACTTTTTGTTAGATTTTAATAAAAAAATTATAAAACTATTCATCGGATTTCAGAGTTAGTTCTTGAAATTGCAGAGTTTTTTTTTAACTCCAAAATTTCAATATGAAATCCAAAAGGGTGTTGTTATACTTAGTTCTCACTCATATAAATCGTCACATCATGAGGATACACATACACTATTACACTTATATAGGGGTACACAAAACAATTGAAAATATACATATAAAATTTCTCAATTTAGAATATTGGTCCGGAATCCCCTAATATTAGTCCGAAGTGTTTTTATTTTTTATGAAACTATTCATCGGATTTCAGAGTTAGTTCTTGAAAATTCAGAGGTTTTTTTTTTTTTTTTTTTTAATTCCAAAATTTCAATATGAAATCCAAAAGGGTGTTGTTATACTTACCCCTTATTCATATAAATCGTCACATCATGAGGATACACAGACACTATTACACTTATACAGTGGTATACAAAACAATCGAAAATGTACGGATAAAATTTCTCAATTTAGAATATTGGTCCGGAATCCCCTAAATATTAGTCCAAAGTGTTTTTTTTTTTTTTTTTTTTTTTTTTTTTTTTCAAAATTGATATCTTTTTTAGTCAGAACCTACAATTCCAAACTTGATAGTTATTTTTCTAGAAATACAATTTTTTTAAAAATTATTTTCTATAAATTCACATTTCATCATTATATGCTGGTTAGATTACTTTTTTTTTCCTCTTGTGTACAAAGGGCAAAATGACTTTTATTGTTAAAATCCGTTTCACTTTGTCCATATGACATTTTGACCTCTTAAGAAGACCCCCCCAATAATCGAATCAAATCAGTTTCCCTCCGGCCTCCTCCCTTCTTTCTATATTCCGGCTGCTAGAGATATTGTATCTGCTTCTCCTCCTCCGTCGCCGATTCAACAGTAAGTACCAACTAGCTCTCATTTTGAACACCTTCACGCGTAAAAGCAAATGCAACACATATGTTCGTAGTTATTTCATCACGAACCCTCTCTTACAACTTTTTTGTTATTTAGAAAAGAAATCTTCAGGAATCAGGACGAGAATCAATCAAGGTATCTCACATTTCAAATCTAGGGATAGAAGGACGTTGATCTTAGCGAAATCCATACTATTGAAAACTAAAACGTAAGTTTGAAATTCATCCAAGTAAAACTTTAATTTAGGTCTTAATCTCCTAATCTAGGTGTAATTCGCACATACATTCTTTACCTGATAGAATCTAGCATATCTCCACTTCTGATTTTTCTTAGGTTTAACAAAATATTGACTATCTATGACCTTATGGATAACCAATTGGGAATCTAAGGCACCGTTTTTGTTGTTTCACCATGGTTATTTTTATGATTCTATCCCTGTTAATATGTATGATCTAATGATCATATCATTGAAAATATTCAAACAGTAATCATTTTAGAATACTCTGTTTGTTATGCCTTCTTCCACCCATTTAGTGTTATGATAAATGGACATATATGTTTGGATGCGGTTATAAGCTGCCAAATTTGTTATAGCTGTAAGGAAAGGTTATAATGATTAAAGAGACAGGGGTTATCGTTTTCCACATATTTACATTGTTCATATGGAATCCACAGATGGAAGAGGATTCACGAACATCTCCAGAACCAGCTTACCATGTTGATGGAACTGATACAGAATACATCTCAGGACTTAGTACCTTACTAGCTGCTACAATCCAAGAAACAAAGGAAAGTGTTTCTCAGATAGAATATCTCTTCTGCAAGCAATTATTTCCAGATTTCCAATCAAAACTGAAAAAAGTATATTCTGAAGCAAAGAAAGTCGCCGAAGAAGAATGTAAGAAAAAGGAAAACGATCTAATTGATCAAGTAAAAACACTCCAATCCGAAAAACAAAAGTTTTTGGAAGAAAACCAGTTTTTAAAGATGGAAAATAGCAAGGTAAAGAAGGTTTCAGGATCATCATCTAAACATGGTAATGATCTTGAAGAGGAGCTGAAAAGAAAAAATAAAGAGATAGCTGAAAAAAGAGAACTACAACAAAGCTTACGTGAACTTCTAGATTCAAAGGCCTCACTTGTACATGGCAATGAAAAGAGATTAAAGGAGCTTGAAGATGAAAACCACTATCTTCGTCAGAAAACAAATGGACAAGAACTTGAACTTGAAGAGTTAAGATTGACTCTAAGATGCAAGTCAAGAATAATAGAAGAGAAAGAGGAATCAAACTGTGAGCTTATTGAGTTGGTTCAATCAAAGGTATTTCTCATAGAGCAAAAAGAAAGACAACTGAAAGAAGCAAACGATAAAAAGAATGAGCTTCTTGCAAAGCTTGAGATTTCAGAGAAAAAGATAGATGAAAAGATCGAGTGTGAAGAAACATTGCTGACAAAAACGAGAACACAAGCTTCAGAGATTGTAAAGGCTAGAAAGCTTCTTGATGATTGTGAAAATGTGAAAAGATTGCTTATTGCGAAAGTAAAAGGGTTAGAGGAGGAAATTGATAAGCTTCAAATGGATGTTAGAGAGAGGAGTAATGAGTCAACTGAAGGAATGGAATTGCATGGGAAATTACTTCAGCAGATTGAAGGGAAGAATGCTGAGATAATGATAGAGAAGCAGAAAAGAAGGGAAGTTGTAGACGCCTATAAAAAGCTCAAATCTCAGTACATTTATTTATGCTCAAAATCAGGCCTAACTCCAGAAAATATGATTGGCAACACCAGCAAAGAAGTTAATAAAGACTTGTTAGGCCATGATCAGAATATATTGAATTCACCTGGTAATCCTTCTTCTTTTCCCTTTTTTCCTTGGTTTTGTTTTATCCTCTTATGTTGTTAATTATATTAATTACCAAAAAGAAAAACATACTATCTTTAATTGGAGAACAAAGATGAATATGTTTGTCTTACTGATTAAAGTAAATTGCTATTTCTTGTACAACGAACGAAGCAATAGCTAACTAACAATAACATATCGCTTCTTATCAATATATGATTACAGTCAATGGACAGAAATCTCCGAATATCCCAGTGCCTGTTTGTGAAACAACTAATCATACCACAAACCAACAAAACTGTGAAGTCAAAAAAGAAATCAAATCGACCTCAAATGACATCACCAAAAAGTCAAACTTATTATCCGGAACAAAACGTCCGGTTTCTCACTGGAGAGACACTCGACCTACAAAAAACAGAAACGGACCAGACCCTCACGATGATTTTCTCGATACTCCATTAGAAAACATCAAACAAGATTTGAAAAAAGTATCAAAAGAAAAAGAAAAAGAAGAAGAAGAAGAGATTCATCATCTTCCAGATCGGGTTCCTAAAGACATGAATTTTGAAAGCTCAGATGATGAGACACAGGATCCAAGTGGGAGGCCTGAGAAGAAAAGCTTCAAGTACGTTGAACCAGTAAGAAAGAAAGCCGATAGGGCGAATCTTAAAGGAATTGAATGTAAGCAGTGTAAAAAATTCTATGATGCTGTTCTTCCTGAGGGGAGTGATAATAGTAAGCAGAATCTGCGTTGTGAGCATCATGAGGGGGTTTCCAGGCATCGATTCAGGTTTGCTCCTCCTTCCACCCCTGAAGGTTTTTGGAATATTGGATTTGAATCTGAAATGTGAAAAAAAAGATTAAAGTTTTTTTAATCGATTTGGAAATTGGAAGTTTAGGGTGTACTCTATTGTATTTCTAGAATTGAGATTCTTTTAAAAGATAATTGAATTTTGTTAATAATTTTTTTAGTATATGATCAAAGTGTTGATGTTTTCAATAGAATCGGATATTAAATCCACATTTTAAGTTACTTATGGTGTAAACGTTCTTTAAACTACATTTTGTAAGTGCAACTATTATACATAACTAACTACTTTGTGTCTTAGGTTTTGTGCTCGTTGACTGATTTCTAAGAATCATGTTCTTGAAATAATTTTATTGTGTTCATTAAAGATCACAACTTTTTTAGAAAATACTTGGTTGGGTTTTGATAAAAAATTAAATTTCAGAATGCATGAATATGGATTAGGTTGAATGACAAAAATGACCTTACCTGCCATGTTACTTGATTTAATGGATTGCCACCATTATATTGAATGAAAATGTAAAATAATTCCCTATGAGGACTAAAAGTGCATGCTCATGTATAATCGAGGGATTATTTTATAGTTTAGTCCCCATCCGATTTTCAGTTTCCTTCTTCTCAGGCGTATTCAAATTTTCTTCGTTGGGGACTAACGATCTTGTATATAATTATATATGACCTGGTTGGGTCAAAATAATTGTCTGTCACAATGATATATTTTTCCATTTCAATTTAAATCAAATAAATCACAAAATGATATACAACCAACATGAAAAATGTTCAGTTACATGCTATACTTGATGGTTTAAAAGCTGAAAACCTTACTTCATCGGAGAATATTATAGTACTGCATCTGAGCGAAAGACTTCCAATATCGACGTTACAATCGAAATCAAAAGCTTTCAAAGTTCAAATACTTCACAAATTCACATAATTTAATAAAATCACATAAACAATATATACAAGTTATGAATTTAACAAAATCACCTAAACAAATGACTCCAAAAGTCAAGGAACATACTAATAATGTTTTTCAGAACAAACCGCCAAAATATATTTTTAAAATCTATACATATAAATAAAAAGGAAACCAATATTTAAATCTAAAAACTCTAAACAAAAAGAAAACAACTTAAACGCATGCATAACAAACACATGTTAATCAAAGTATCTTTTGACAATACTTTGGAGTTCCTTCGATACCTATCTGGCTAACTCCACTACATCGCCAAGTGGAATATCCTCTAGTTTTGTTATGGTAATCCGTATAGTCGTTAATAACACAATATCCTCGTTTAATTTTTGTTGTTTTGGGAACACAAACGAGAATTCGTTATCAAACGTGATCTGTAAACATTCGTTAATGATAAAGAGAAATGCAAGGGGAATTCCATTAATTAATCGATATCATATCATCTTTTATAAATCACAAGTTATTAAATACATGTCTACGCTGCTAAAAAAAACTATATATAAATTAGTATCAATATATTATTATGACTAAATAATTAAATAAATAGTATTGTTTAGTAATTTATTTGTTACTAACTAGTCTATACAAATCTATGAATATTCATGTAATTTTATGATTTTATGTGAATAACGCGTATCAGTGTATCACGCATTCGGAGTGTATCAAATACCAATACACAAACCGTGACCAACCAAACGGAGCCTGAAACGACGTCGTTAACAAACTCGTGTGAGAGGCGTCCCGCAGAGGCAATCATTGCCGGAGAACGACGACGCTTCCAATTGTTCGAACGGTGATCCCGCTGGAATTGCGCCACAGAAATGGTTGTTACTGAGGTCCAAATGTCCGATGTACTTAGCCGAAGTCAAAGATGCCGGTATAGATCCTTTTAATTCGTTGTGCGATAAATCTATCATAGAGAAGTACGTCGTCGGAGTAAAAACATCCGGCAAGTAGCCGACGAGACTGTTACTGCTCAGATTCACGATGTTTAAGCCAGTGTTTCTTAGTATACTCACCGGAATTTCGCCGTAGAGCTGGTTGTTATCCAAGTAGAGTGTAGAGAGGACCGGCATTGATCCGAGTTCAGCAGGAATCGTGCCAGAGATCTGATTCATTGACAGATCCAAATCGGCCAAACGGTAGATTTTGGTGATTGAAGTCGGAATTTTCCCGGTGAGTTGGTTTTGTTTCAGTAAAACTCTGCTCATCATCGAGAGCTTGCCTATATCCGCCGGAATTTCACCAGAGATTCGGTTGCTGCTGAGATCCAGATGCATGAGATTCCTAAGGTTTACAATAGACGGTGGAATGTTTCCGGTGATATTATTGTCAGCAATATTGAGAACCGCGAGTTTCCCGAGTTTTCCGATGTCAACGGGGATTTCGCCCGTGATCTGGTTACCGGTGAGATCCAGGATGCGGAGGTGAGAAAATGAAGTGATACACGCCGGAATTTCGCCGGATATACCCTTCCAGTCGGAAACGATTAGAGTAGTGAGCCGGTCCAGGGAACACAGAGAAGGTGAAAGTGAACCGGACATGAAACTTATTTGGCCGGTTTTATCGATCATGAGCTTGTCTTCCGATTCGCCGCGTAGGATAACGTGGATGACATGGCTGTCAGTTGGGTCGCAGCTGACGCCGTACCAGTTGGTGCAGCAGTCGGTGCCGGTCCATGTGTTAAAGATGCCCAAGTATGGTTCGGTGAGGGCGGACTTGAAGGCCAACAATGCTGACAAGTCCGCCGGGGGGCAGCAGTTGACGACGGCGGCGAATAGTGCCGTCGTCACCACCAGGTATGTAGTTTCCATTCTCTGATTCTCTCTCAAGTTAATTTGGGCGTTGGAAGTTTCAAATATGAGTGTTTTTGTTTAAGCAGTCGGGGTGCTATATATCCAACGGTTAATCATAAATGGGAAATGGTAAATTACCAAATAACCAGAGAAACTATATATAAAAAGAAAAAATTATGAATGGTTCTTGTTATGAAAATTGATTTTCTGAAAGCTATTTTAATTTACAAAATTATTTTATGAATGTTTCTTGTTATAACATTATTTTATTTTCTATTTATTTCTTTAAAAAATATATATTTCTCAAAATATGAATCATTTTGTAATCTGAAAAAAAGAGGTAGTTTCACAAACATTATTTATGAATAAATTGATATTTTGTGATTGATCGTAGGGGTGTGTATGGGGCGGTTTGGTTCGGTTATTGGTCAAAACCGAACCATAACCATTATGACTGGTTAATGTATTTTGGTAGCCATTGGGTATGTTTAATATTGGTTATCGTTAATGGTTTTTGTTGGTTAACGGTTTTGTTTAATGGTTAATAATGGTTAACCATAATGTTCAAAATAACATAAATGGCGAAAGTATAGTGGCATAAAAATGAAAAGAGAATATAAAAAATCCTCTGCACCAATGTTTGTAACCTAGCTTATAGTAATAGAATAAAATGTGTACATTTTATATTCAGAGTGAAATAACACATAGTCACATTCAATAAAAGTATAACAAATTAAAAAAACCTTGACATTAATAACTTTGTATATTGATAATTGATATTAACATTAAAATAAAGCCAAACGTTCATACATTTTCAATGCGATTAAATCAAAAAGTATAAATAAAATAGTTAAACATTTATATTACGTGTTATCTGTATAAAAAAAAAACCAATCATTCATATACATTCAATGTGATTAAGTAAAAACAGTAAATAAAAAGCAATTTTTTTAGAAAAAAATACATTCTTAATATATCATAAAGTGAAGAAGAACTAAAAACTTAACTTACCTAGAAGTTTTGATTATAAATTTAAAAAAATCCTTCAAATAGAACTATAAAGTTAAAACAATCTTTGATTAGGATTAACGGTGTGAGAAGCATCCGATTGGGATTATGAGTGTGAAGATAAAATTAATTGAGAATAATATTTACAAATTATAGAATTAGCCGATTATGAATCACAACATTAATCAATAATATAACTCAATGCATGATTGGAAAATTGTGTGTGTCTGCATATGTAACGCCTGTGTTTCCAGGCTTGCCATTTTTAGCAATATAATGATCTAGGTTAACCTTTGTAACCCGTTTTGAAATAATAAGATTGTATTATTTGAGTATTATGTGTTTTGTGATTAATTGCTTAATTATGTGGTTTGATTAATTAAGAATAAAAATAAGTGTCAAAATTTAAGTGTAAATTAAACTTGATATCTTTAGATAATGTTGTAGTAGTTGAAACAAGGTTTCCGGAGATATAAAGAATGCCGAAATCCGAGTTATAACGAGGAAGTTATGACCTGTCGAAGTTTCGCGACAGAACCGGCAACGCTGGATAACGTAAAAAGTGAAATTTAAGTTAAAGCGATATTTAGCCTTAGTGATCTAAACGAGAATCGAAGATCTCGTTGTTAGTATCAAAGCGATAAAAAGTTAGGCGAGAACGGACGTCGGACGAAGAAGTTATGAATTTATAACGAAATTTTCTGTCACAGCCTATTAAAAATAAATAATAAAAATAAAGTTAAAATTAGCCGACGGAGTCTACACGAAAGTTGTAGAGCGTAGTCTCACCTTTCCGTGGATATAAAGAACGTCGAAAACGGAGTTCGTATGAAGAAGATATGAATTTCCGAAGTTTATTAATTAGTTTGTATTTATTTTTAAATCAAAATTCGGAAGCATTATCCGAAGGCAAGTCACAGGTCTGATCCGACTTACGCGCCGCGTAAGTGAGTACGCCCCGCGTACTCCGAAAGTGTCGACATCGCAGCAAGTGGCTTCGGATACGTAAGCGATGACGTTTCTCGGACCAGTACGCCCCGCATACTGGCGTACACCCCGCGTACGAGGGGCTTCCAGCCTCCTATAAATAGGATGCGAGGGTTCCGGGTTCCATTGCTATTTTCCTCTCGTTTTTGTGCCGAAGCTCTGCGTTTTTACCCCCGAAGCCATCCCGAAGTCCCGGTAATATTCCCGAGTCCCGAAGCGAGTCCCGAGATCCCGAAGATCCTAAGAAGTGCGGTTTCCAAGCCGAAGCTCTGCCCGCGA